CGTATAGGAGAATAATTGGTGAAAGTTTGAGCTCAATCAGACTTAAATTGTGTTGAGCGTCTACAAAATACGGTATGACCGAGTTTTCGACCTAGTGTCGGTCCAGTAAGCGCTTTTTTCTACTCCATTTCTGGTTCGATTGAAATAATTTTTTCACACAATGAAGCTTATAGGCTAATCATTCGTTCCAGATAGTTTTTCATTTTAAAATATTTTAATAAATTAATAACAAAAATCTTCTCCGGATAATTACCGGTTTGTGAAGAAATTTTTTGACGATGGGTTTTTCCAGGGTTCGACTTGATTTCTGGAAATTTAGTTTTAGGGTAAGTTAGACTAACCATAGATGTATTCATTCCAATATTTGAATTTTGGAAAATAGAACTTTCGGTCATGTCCGCCTGGTTGTCCACCGTGCCTCACTTCACAGACAAATCGATCAATTTACAAAAGTGTCGGAAGAAGCAGGACTAATGATAAACAAAACTAAAACAAAAACGATGGTGTTTGGCGACAAGAACATCGATGAACAAGCACAAATCAACGGCAAAACCATTGAAAACGTTGAGGAATTCGAATATCTGGGAAGCTTGCTAACCTGGGACAACAACTGCTCCAAAGAAATCAAAAGAAGAATCAACAAAGCAGTTGGTGCCATGACAAACCTAAAGCATAGATGGAATGCGAAATAACTAAAAGTCGAAAACAAACTAAAGCTGTTAAATACCTGCGTCTTCAGCGTATTACTATATGCTTCAGAAACATGGACTCTCAAAGAAGGCGACAAAAAGAAATTGCTTGCATTTGAAATGAAATGCTATCGTAGAATACTACGAATTCATTGGAAAGATATGGTGCGTAACGCTGACATTAAAAATAAAATAGCAGCTCACGAAACCATAATAGACACTATTAAAAAAAGAAAATTAAGACTCTTCGGTCACATCTGTAGAATGGATAATACTAGACTGTTAAAACACGTAGTTTTTTCCAGAATAGATGGGAAATCCAGAAGAGAAAGACCATGCAGAGAATGGTTAGATGATATCATGGAATGGTGCGCGTACAGCTCCCAAGATCTGGTTCATCTAGCACAGAACAGAAATCAATGGAAAGAATTGATTCGAAAAGTGGTTAGCCCCAAGGAGCGATAAGCCTACGGGATATCAAGTATCAAGTAAGATTTATGTAATTGGATTACGTATAAAGATTTTCTTGCTTTTGCATCTGTACTTTTCAAATGGTTCAATGACAAGAACAATACAAACTCTGTTTGTTGTGGAAATTTGGAGAGCATAATTCTTTACTGTAATTTTTCGAAGTTCAAAAAGAGACAGTCATCATGAATGGCAACATTGTGATCTGCTGCTCATTACCTTTAATGTGCACCAGTCAGAGACTATGAAAGCTATTGAATTAGCATTGACAGTTTAATATATGATAACGTAAACATAATCAATCTTTTCTAAAGTTTATGAATGGGATAATAGATTTCGGCAATATAAAACTCATTTCATTTATCTTATTATATTTTTCCACATGTAATTAACAATAAATTACTCCAACATTAACTGAAAGTAAGTTTATTAACATTTTCACTAAAAATAATTACCTTTCAACTGAAGCTTCACATCTTTATAGGAAATAGTACCCATGTCCTCAAAATCTCTAAAAATTCGACGATTTAATCGCGATTTATTAGGACGATTAATCGTGAGAGCTTATCGCGATATAATCATTCAAACCGCCGATTTTGGCCGATATTTTTCCCGATTTTTAAGAAAAATCGCGATTAATTTACGGTTGCGTAATCAGTCTAGGCTTATCATGAAAAAAAGGTAGAAAAAATAAGTTTTTTTTAAGACTTTTGATGTCTATACAACGAGTCTCTTCGTTATCTGTTTACTCTCTCTGAGAACGACTTCGTCCATTGGTATATCCTCGTGCTTATTGAGCGCGTTTCAACTTGTTTATAATACCGTAGAGCAGATTCAATCAGATAAACTTGTATTTTCGAAGCACGGAATATACCATTATACTATACTTACGTATATCTGACATTGTTGAATTTTCTACGTGTATTCAACAAAACTTTGTTAACCACGAAAATGTTACTACGAGTAAAAGCTAGGAATGTCATTTTCCTGTTACTTTAAATTAAATACAAATCATTTTTTTTTGATAATTTGTATGTAAAAATAAATTTGAATTATAACCATTTATATTTAAAAATAAAAATTATTTCTAACTAAATTTATTTATCATTTAAATCATCACACAATTAATTTATTTTACATAAAAATTATTGTTATTCATATCTATCTTTAAATATAAATATTTTTTAGAATCTATATTTAAAAATGTGAATTATGAAAAAAATTATTTTTAATTTAATAAATTCGTAAATTAAAATATAAGAATAAATTGACACCCCTTAGTCATTTTTAATACGAAAATATGTTCCACTGCTTTATTAAGATAGTTTGTTTTTAAGAATATAAGGAATTCATTGGCCATGACACTTATACAATTAATTTCAAAAAGAAACAAATAAAAAAAAATAATTTATAGGTGGATGTGGATGATAGAAGGCTGACTTTCACTCCCAAACCACATCCCACACCCACACCTATCCTTTTTCAAACGCAATCTGAACCAAATAAAATCTAATTGGACATATGTGATTCGTTTTGGTCTCTGGTTCTTAATACAAAATAAAACAGATCAGTTATTTACAAATTTCTATGCATAAAAAAAAATTAATAAAACTTATTGTGATGTGAGAATTTATATGAAAGAGAAGAGAAAAGAAAAAGTTGAGAATACTCTTCTTTGTTAAATGATTACACGAATGTCCTTGAAAATGTCCTTAAATTAGTTGGGATGATTGAAAGAAGCTGTCTATATATAACGATCGAAAACTAATCTTCGTTTGTATGAGTATTAAGCAATAAATATTTCTGTTGAAATTAATCCAAAGTTTGTGACACAAGCCAATCATTGTAATAGATTACGTAATTTAATATGATACAGTTTGACTGAACAAGAAAAGATTAACAAATTCATTTTTTTGTTTATCTAAGCTAATAAACCAATAATTAATGGGTCAGAAAATTATCTTCTAGCATATTATAAAAATTTAGAAATATTTTTTTGGTGAAAATATCTGCAAATCCGCAGTTAGTTTCGATCAATCACGACTCTCAAAATAATCGACGATTTATGACGATACATCTGTGTTACTCACAAAATCGATGATTAATCGTGATGCATTTATATTACTCAAAAAATTGGTGATTAATCGCGATTAATCGACTGTTTTTTTTGTTGAAATCGCAATTAATCGTTAACTTTTATGAAAATCGTGATAAATCATCAAAACTTAGCTGATTTTGATGACATGGGTTATAGCACTCCTGAAACAGCATACTTTGAACTGAATCTTTTTTTTATTTGCAGAGAAACACGATACTTACTCTTTTAACTGGAAGATATTCAATAATCTTCTCACATACAATAACTCCGTTACATGTAATGAGCTGAGTACGATATAAAATTTCACATGCTATGCAATTTAGCTTAGATAATGTTATCATTTCTTTTGTAGTGCTACACCTTGACCAATTCTATGAGAGAATAGGAGAAACGACAAAGCCAGCAGTATCAGAGAACTTGTTTACATATATTTCGGGCATGCGAAAAATGGTTTAGAAAGTGGCCAACTTTGGCGTGTTTCTATCTTCCTGCAGTTTTTAAACTGAAAACTGAAACTATCATTTAGTTTTATTTTTTATTGTTATTTTTATTTTAAATCTTACTGTTCTAACAGATTAACAGTAAATATTAATCTATAGGTCGTAACCAAGTTGCTATAATAACATAAACAAAATAAAGTTCAATTTGATAATAATCATTTGTTTTTTTAAAATTGATATAATCAATTATTTTTAATCATAAATAATAATATATTTTTTATTTAAGATAATATAAATTAAAGCATTGAGAAAGAAAAAGTCCTATCTTTAAAATTAATCTATTGTTTCCGTGCAGTTTTTCATTTTCATTTTTTTTCAAACAAAATATTCAATATTTTTAGTAGAAAATTGAAAGATGCGTGCTTTTTATGAGGATAGGAAGAACTCTAGAAATTATGCATAAAAATAATTTCGTAGAAAAAAATAGCATATTTCTTCTCGTCTTTCGGATAAAATGATATACGTATGTATAGTAGTGATATATATGCTAGGGTTACTATGGAGTACCATGTCCATGGGTTTCTCCTTTATAATGGTATTGTTTTATTTATCACCTTCTGATTGGTTTTCATTTTGACGTGTTATAGTATTTTACTGGTCATGCTGACTGATCGTGTTGTGGTAGCTTCACACAGATAACTTTCAGCATGTGCAGAAAAATCCAGCTTACATAACCTATGAACATTTCAGCCTTATCCAACTTCATTTCATTGAGATATTGAAAAGGCAAGATAAAAAAAACGTGTTTTCGTCACGCTTGGACAGGCTGCGACAATAGAGGTGACGAGAAAAAAACGGAACAGATTTTATTATTCACATCCTATCTGCGGATGATGAAATAGTGCACAAATAATGATGATAGCCGTGCACACATGTAGGCGAAGTCATTCTCATGCAGTCAAAAAATCAAAAATATTTCATGACTTTCGTGAATTGTATATCAAATACACAGAAAACATGGCATTTCTGATGATGAAACACAAAAAATTGATGTTTTTCATATTCATTGATGAAAAGCGATATTTTAATTAAGCAAATGGAGTGGCTTTCGTTTTTAATCAAAATCATGCAATGAAATTAATGAAAATGTCTATCTTAATCGATGAATTTCAAATACATCAATTTTTTTGTCCATTTACTCATTTTAATGCCATTTTATTGATTTTTTAACTCTCTGCGTTCTATCCTTATCACTTTTAAGAACCTTATGAAGATCGTACTTTTTTCTTTTAGATATTATAACCAATGCAGAATTCTCTACAATTTTATGCTGAACATAAATCTCATCCAATAGAAGATGGTTTTCATTCAAATGCACTATATACATTGAATGACAATGATACTTTTGGACTATTTTCGTCCACTTCAATGAGTACAAATCAAACATCGGCAATATCTTCACCAACATCATCAGGTATGGCTCGATCAAACAAACATAAAGCAACGACTGATACTGATGTAAGTTATTTATCGACATCAATTTGTAGTCATAACAGTAATTATTCTGATGCATTATATTCAACACTTCCTCGTCAATCAACTGATTTTTCTCGAACTTTATCATCTAGTAGACGTGATAAAATAACAACAGCATCAGTTTTGACAATATTAGCTGAAGAACGAAACTCGGATGATCTTGCACATAAGCGTGAAGACCATAGAAAAGTTGAAGAAAAGCGACGAGCAATAGAAAAAAAACTTTTTAGAGAATTATTAATGTTAATGACAAATCGAAGTGATTCAAAGTCAAAAAAACTTCGCCATATTGATGTACTTGAAAAAGCTGTTCATAAAATATCTAAAATAAATTTGCGACATAAAAATGATCCATTACGTCCATCAAATTTAACTGATAATGAATTAAACTTTTTAAAAATTGAAGCAAGTAATTCATTCTTATTTGTAACTACTATTGAGCCAACATCATTTCGTGTAATTTATGTCACTGATACAATAAATCGTGTATTAAATGTTACACCTGATCAATGGCTTGAACAAGATTTTCTATCATTTATACATCCTGTGGATTTCATACGTTTTGAAAATCAACTGATGTCATTAAATCAACGTATTGGAATGTCAATTCATCTTGAATGCCGATTAAAACAAGGTAATAATGATATGCATACATCTGTTATTATTGATGGTATGACGAAAATAATTGATGATTCATTAAAACCTGTACAAACAAATATATCAGGTTTTCTTGCTTTTGTTGGTATATGTCATTTACCATTAATAACACAATACAAGCAAACAAATATGTGTCGGTATAAAGATCCTCAATCGTACACATTTCGTTGTCGTTGTTCACCAAATGATTGGAAAATTTTTCTTGTCGATCGTTCAGTATCAACATTACCATCCATATCATATGATTTATTTCATCAAGAATCTATATTAGATTTTATAAATATTAATGAACAAGCACTTGTATATCAAGCTTTATTACACTCAATAATAGCACCAACAACTGAAACAATAATATGTAATTTTATACATCCAACTCTGCAAACTTCAATACCAATGACACTTGAAATCAAATCATTTTTTGATACAATTCCTCATCAAGCTAATTTTATCGAATTAACATTTGAAAGTTTATTTAATTTTATAGATGAAGTACAACAAAACGATAAATTATTGAAATCAGATTCATCAGTATCAACTCAACAAACAATTGAAGAACAACTTAATAATAATCTGACAATTCAAACTACACCTTATTATTATTATTCAAATGGATGGACAACAACCAATGAACTATTTTAAAATTACAAAACATGTAAATGTTCCATTTTCTGTTGTATACCATCAAACTTTATCAATTCATTGGCAGTTTCTTATTTTTAATTGAACAATAAAAATTTTTAACTACGCATTTTAAATAAAGCACAAACAAGAATTTTTTATTTTCTGTTATCCAAGCTTCTATGTATAAAAATTATACGAGATAAATACAATAAATGAATAAACTACCAAATTTACTGTATTATATTCAGGACTGGTCCGAGTCAGCAAACATTGGGGGGTTGTCGCGATTTTTTTGGGGGGTTGTTCCGGATTTTGCAATGCGAATAAAAATTCGTTTTCGCTGGGGGAAAAACGAAAATTTTCGATTATTGGGGGGTTGTCACAACCCCAAAACCCCCTATCGGGCCAGCCCTGATTATATTGTAATGCATCAGCCAATAAGGTTATATCTTGTTTCAAAATTTGAAATACAGGTTGAACGCAGTAGTCTAATAATGAATACCATCTATTCGAAATATTGTATGAAAAGTTAAAATTGTACTGATAATTTTCTTTTTAGAGTATCCTTAGAAACTGCTGACATCAGTCAACAGAGCTTCGAATGAGCTGCGGTAATCTCATCCTATGGCATTCGAAGTTCTCCGAGCCATGATTACTTTGGTTTTAACTGTAACCTATAATGCTAATTATCTAAATATTTAAGTATAAAAGATCTGTAAATAACAATCATAATAGCCGTGGACATCTGTCTCCACGACAAACACAAGACATTCTAGTGGCAAGCAACAAGCACAGCGCAGAACGATTTTTTAAGACATATCTGTAATAGTCAACTCATCGCTAGGAATTATAACAAAGTGAGTATTAAACTTAAGTTTGTTAAAAGAAATCTTTGTTTTTCTATTTAATCAATTTTATTTTAAAAAAATAATTGTATCTTACGCGCTTCTATCCGATGGATTGATTTTGTAAAATATATATTTCAAAACTTAAATTTTTAGAACAACAAGTTTGTTCATGTTTAAATAGATGCTTAAGTTTACAGAAAGTTAATTCTTTATTAATTTTAGAAAAAAAAAGCTTGTTAGCGCAGCCCCTTTGGGGCTAATATGTGGAACTCACGTATATTCTTCAGCTTCATTGTACTAATATGCAATATAGATAGTATAAAATCACGATTTTTTTTAATTTTCTGACAGGCGCCCTTATTTTTCGTCTTCTTTGTTGCTATTCGCTCAGTATTTTTCATTTTTAACACTGCTTTTTTCTTTAATTTTACATTTTTATTATAAGAAGCATTGAATTATATGGCGAATGAAACTGTTATATATATATTAGGGGTGTCAGATTAGCATTAGCATCGCATTAATTAATACTTTTTTTTAATGCTTTTGTATTAAAATTAAAAAATTAACTTAATACTTTCGCATTAGTGTTAAAAAAAATAATTCAATACTTTGGCATTAGGGTTAATTTTGTATTAAGAAAATGCTAATATCTATCATGATCGTGCTAGGGATGCAACGGTGACGATCAATGATCGCTTCACCGTCACCGTTTCACCGCTCGAAACAGTGAACGATCAGATCGATCAACCGGTGAAACGATCTCCGATTACACTGAGGGTGTGGGTGTGGGTGTAGATGTGGGTGGAAGACACAATGAACATTCATACTCACAACCACAGACCTACACCCCCACCTCACATCCATACCCATACCCACCTACACCCACACCCCACACCCACACCCTCGAACTGGATAAGAGTATTGCAACAAAGTGTCTCAGTGATACAAATTAGAATGATTTTTGCAATGATTTTCATTCCGAAACAAAATACGATACAATAAGAAATATTTTTCATCAGAAATTAATTTGAACTCTCGTGGTGTGCTCAGTTAACACATTAAAATAAAATATGCCACAGACTGTGCCATAAAAATGTGTCATATGATAGATATTTTAGTCATCAGTCTAGAACATATTGAGAGATCAATCGATGACCGAGATTAAACTATCTCGAAGTCATTCAGTCAAGATCAAATCAACTTGATGTTGTTAGATCTTAGGATCTTGCCGTCTTGTACTCCAAGAATAGTTGCTAATAATTCAAGTCAAGCTAGGAAAATAGTAATTATTCAAGCTTCCGAAAAAAAACTACGAGACTTGCCGAAGAAGAAACTCAATTCATGTTTTCCGAATGTATCCTAACGAGCACCTTCTGTTGAAAAACATGACACATGCGATATATTTAGTATTAGTATCGGTACATACCCTTTGTGATTATATTATGTAAAAAAGATTGAAAACAAAAAACTGTTCATTTATTTTTGGTTAAAAGTCTTTCGGATACGTGCTGATTGTGCCTTATAGACAATCAATCATATAGATAATTAAACAATCAATCGATAATATTCTTAAGAAGAATGCTGACAGACATTCATAGAGCTCTCGTAATGATGATTTTTACTATGGCAGCTTTTCACGTTGAGTTTGACTTTGATCAATTCATTGATGATATTTTAACATTTTCGATTCATAGCGACAAAACAATGTTTGAATCAGCAAAACGTGAACATCTTTAGTACAGGAGCGACTTACAACAAGAGAATCTCGAATACCATCTAGTCTTATCTTCATGGTGACTTTGCTGAATAGTGCCGTGTACAGTTCAATACGTTACATAAGCAGCCGTATACGGACCGTATCGCTCGAGTTCTGTAGTTCAGATATTAACATGTGTTACTAATATCAAAATTCCAACATTTTCTCTATCAAATTGTATGAAAGATATATATTCTGAAGCTTTATTTTCCGTATGTCAACGAATCCATACTAGTTAGTTGTTGAATACTGTTATAAGCATATAATTAAGCGTATCTTGAACATAACTGTGAATTTAACCCATAATTTTCACTCTATATGAAAACTTCTCCTTAAAACTTGTGCTCTCACATGCGAGTCAACATAATTGACATGAAATTTTTTAATATTCATTCTTTCTTATAGTTTCATTGTAGAAAAGAAATTGTTTCTAATTTTTGCTACTCAACAGCGAAGAAATGCTAAAAGAAAAAATATTTTCTAAAAAAATTTTTATTTTGCTTTATTATAATAATAGAAGTTAAAAGTATGCGATAATATTATAAATATTGCAGTCACAGAACTTTCTTTTCTTCGAATAAGATGCAATACATATCGAACGGTTTGAACGTCGACATCAATTTTATTCTATCATTTGACTTCCACTAAACATTAATGTAATCATCATAAATCTAAATGGATAATTATCCACAAGTCTAGGTTTCAAATCAAAGATGATTGTATTAGAATTATGTCAAACACCTGCAGACATAGAATCGGAAGAATTTCAAAGTAATCGAAAATACTTACGCATGATGTTATTTTCAGATTATGGAACAATCTCTCAAGAGAAAATTTGATTTGTAGAGTACAATTAAACGAGATATAGATTTCAACTTTTTTTATAAAATCGTTTGACATATATCCTTATGAAATGAACTCGAGCATTCGTTTATCATAATCAATAAGCTTTACAATTTGGCAAACAGGTCATTACATCTTACTCATTGATAAACTGAATGTTGACTTTGGAAAACTCTCCTGTAACTTAAAGAAAAAGTCATGCATTAGAAATTAGTCTAGTGTAATACGCACAAGGTATATTTTACGTTTAATCCTGATAGAAAAATTTTACAACTAGCTAACCCGAATATAAATATATTCACATTGATATTTCTAAAGAATAATAACATGAAAAATGATTAATTAACACAAATGAGTTATATATTATCATTTAATAGACCAAAGTATTGCAGGATGTAAACTGAAAGCCATATGATTGAACGAAAGATTCCGTGTGTAACAATAATCTTCTTGGATAATTGTTTCGTAATTAGTTGAAACTCAAGATATAACGAGATAAATGAATGAATCTACTCAAATTGTGGCAACTCATTCTTTCATCGTCAAAAAAAGTTACAAAATCAACTCGCTCTAAACCGAAATTAAAACTATTCCACAAAACCAGATAAGGAGAAAACAGGTTTCTATGTATTTGTTCATCTCTTCAGTGACCAAATGTACAATAGAGTCTTATAAATAATTAATATGAAACCTTTTTAGGTTTTTAAAAAAATCTCATGATGAACTATCGAAAACATACACTCAACAAAATTGATAAAAATCCATTGGCAACAGGATTTCTAATAACAGAAGACGTGACAAATATCTTTCATACAATTATAATAGTTGTTAAAAGCCATTTCGTAGGCTTGATATATAGACATAAAATTCGACACTATTCCTCCTCTAAACAGCAACAACGTTTGTCACATAACGATAGAAACATACAATATTCCGCAGTAGCCAACAGCATATTATTGATAAACTTTCTCGTGTAAATAACTCTAAGATAAGGCTGGTTAGATTTTTGGGACAACAATCTGAAAGTATTGCGGTGTAACCGTAGTTATGGATAGCTCTAAATATTGATTCAGTATAGACAGACAAATAACAACAGATATTAGAGTCGTAGAGATTAAATTTTTTTTACAAACTAATTCATTTCAATATTGTTAGTAAACATATGGCAAACTTTTCAATACTAAATAATAATTCACTCACGTAAATCTAGATCTCATGTTATAATCATAATTGTTGACATAAACTAAAATGACATATTCTGATTTTAATTAAAACTAAACTCGAAAAGAATTTTGAAATATCACAAACTACGTGTTATATTAAAGTAGATGTTTAATCAACATACTGGAAGAAAAGAAAACTTTCTAGGCTGAGAATACACTGTATTTCGCGTTTTTTCGACTCTTTATTAAGATGAAGAAGAAATGTCAAATGTGACGATTTGTAGAGCAAGCTAAGCTTGATCGATTGGTATATGACTCAACTAGAAAGATGAAATTCTGTGAAGAAAACAAAAAAGAAATTTGATATGATGCTATATATAAAATAAAATCACTAAAATATGGTATCAA